GACAAAAATGAAGCTAGAACTTTTAAAAAAAACAGCCTAGATTGGTCAACAGATCGACTCCTATCTTACTGCAAGATAACGCCAGACCACACACTGCACAAATGACCGTGGCAAAACTACAGGAATTGGAGTTGGAACTTCTTCATCATCCTCCATACTCACCATATCTAGCTCCCACAGACTACCACTTCTTTCGTAATTTTAAAATTTATTAAAATTTCAATTCCGATAATGCAGTAAAATTTGTTTTCCAGGAATTCATAGACTCTCGTCCATCAGGTTTTTATACCACCGGGCTGAACAACCTGCCGCTTAAATGGCAACAATGTGTTGATAATTTGGGCGCATACTTTGATGAGTAAAATCGTTTCTTGTGTTTATAAATTATCAGCAAACTTTGCCTATTTTTCTACAAATTTCATACTTGACGACCTGTCAGACTACATTGTCGGAGTCCGGAGGAATAACTGAGAGTCGTTCGTGGTTATCCGTTTATTCGTTACCGTTCAAGAGTCAACGTTCGATCGAATCTTTTAGCTGGGCCTAGTCGTCCGTAATTCAACTGTCTGAACACATGGCAGACGAAGATCCTTGGCGACCGCGGGTTGGCTGCCGTTGATGTCCCCGTATCACCAGCAGGCCAGGGGTGGTGCGGCGTCCGTCGCTGTGACCGCCACATCACCCTCTCCCCTTGGTGGAATCAAGATTGCGGGGTCGCTCTTAACATTAACTTATTGCTACACGCTATTTACAGGCAAAGTATTAGGGGGACCGGAAAGTTATGTCGTTTACATTACATTCAAACAGATAAATATGCGCAGAAACGACATTACTTTACGGTCCCCCTAATATGTACATCTTGGCTTAGACCTCATAATGCTCGTTAGGTTTACCGCAAATATAGATTAAGTAATTTTAAAAAAATGTTATTATATTGAAACAAGCAATTTTTTAACCTAGAAAATGCGATTTAAGAGAAAGAAAAAATTACGATATATACCTAAATATTCATGCATGTTTCCACATTGTTGAAATACACATCTTAAATTTTCAGCAAGAACTCAACCAGAAATGCTTGCTCTTACTAAAAATAATCAAGTATGATTTCCTTTACAATAGTAAAATGACCTTTCCGAGTGAGAAAATGGGAGGGATACCTGCCAAGATTCCTAAAACAATGCATTCATACCTCAGGTAGTCGATACGGGTAACGGTATGGATCAGGCGCTGCGGTACAGAGGAAGCTAATGGTAAGCAAATTTTATTATTATTATTATTATTTATTTTATTTAGTATTATGTTATAGATTATAGGAAGCAATACATCGACGCTCTTAATATATATTTAAAAAATTGTATTGTTGTTTAAAATAGTAGTCCCATATGGTGACATCAACCCTACGATAATGGCATTCTCATTTCACAGTATGCGTGAATGCAAGGTTATATTTTTAAAAATTTTAAATTAATATGTGCAGTCGCGCGTAACCGCTCCTGATTGGTCGAGTCACCGAAGCGTGAAGCGTGACCACGACTATATATACCACAAATTCTGACAAATGGTTCATTCGACGTCTTGTATCTACATCAGCAACATGGAAAACTTCAGAACTTTCCTTGATGTGATTGGAGTGCTCGACCCTACCAAGGTGGATTTTATTTCTGAACTTCCGCCGGAGGTGTCGCAGTTAATCCTACGCATGTTGGATCCTCGGTCTCTGCTTTGCGCTGCTAGAGTGTCAGGTAAGTGGCTGAATGTCTGCAAGGATGATCCTATCCTGAGACGAACCGCGAGACACTATAAACAGCGCATAATGCAGAGACGACGAGAACGTTTTCCTGCGGCAGCTGTTGAAGAACCAAGGA